GCCACCAGGGAAGCCCTCTCAACCTGGAGAGGGTCTGATTTTCAAGGAGGGACCCCTCCTAATCCATTTTTCTCATCAATTTACCAGGAACTCATGGTGAATGCTAATTGGTCACACCTCCTTGAGCACCAGAGATGTGTCCCAGGTACTGCTTATATATATTTTCATCAAATACATCAACCTTGTGAAGCAGATACTGTCTTCACTTTACAGGTCAGAAGACGGAGGGTCAGGGAACTAGCATGATTTTCCCGGAGTCACAAAGAGTCCTGGTTCAAGCATTGACTCTTGTCTCAGTCTGTTCAGGCAGCTATATAAAAAAAATACCATAGGTTGGGTGGCTTAAACAACAACCATTTCTATCTCACAGTTCTGGCGGCTGGCAAGTCCCAAATAACAGCTCCAGTGTACTTGGTATCTGGTGAGACGCCACTTCCTGGTTCACTGGCAGTAGTCCTCTGTGCCCTCACGTGGTGGAAGGGAAACAGATCTGTCTTATTCTCAGAGCACTCATCCCAAGTATGAGGGCTGTGTCTTCAGGACATAACCACTTCCTAATACCCTCCCATTGGGAGTCAGGATTTCATATGAATTTGCTGCTGCTGCTAAGTCACTTCACTCGTGTCCGACTCTGTGCAACCCCACAGACAAGCAGCCCACCAGGCTCCCCCTGTCCCTGGGATTCTCTAGGCAAGAACACTGGAGTGGGTTGCCATTTCCTTCTCCAATGCATGAAAGTGAAAAGTAAAAGTGAAGCTGCTCAGTCGTGTCCGACTCTTAGTGACCCCATTGACTGCAGCCTACCAGGCTCCTCCGTCCATGGGATTTTCCAGGCAAGAGTACTGGAGTGGATTGCCATTGCCTTCTCCATCATATAAATTTGGGTGGACACAAACATTCTCTCCATAACAACTCTGTTATATTCCAAGCCACTGTATTTCCCTAAAAAGCCATCCAGAGCAAAGGCAGGCATGGAAAATCCTGATGTACCCCTCAAGAGGCAGAGACCCTAGAGATGGTGTGCTGGCCGGCAGTGTATCTAGATGCAGAGCTAGAGTGATGGAGGGAAAGTGCACTCCCAGGGGAAGTCTTCTGTACCATCTTCAGCAGTCCCACGACTGAGGGAGACAGGCAGACAGCACCCCAGGACTGCCTGGCTGGAGAGGGATGTGGCAATGGAAAATTTACAAATTCCAACCGCAGCGAGGCAAACTAGGTAGAGTTTCAATCAGTGTTGGGAGGAACTTCCATCTTGATGTCTTATGAAGAGTGACACTCCTGGCCCCTCTCCTCTAGAGAGTAGAGAAAGGACAGCCCTGCTTAGGGAGTTCAGAGAAAGGATCAGGTTGGTTCTTGGCAGTCTCTTCACTGTGTCCATGAAGGCCCTTTCTCTGCACAAAAAGCCTGTGGTTTTCCCACAAGGCCTTGAGCTGGTGGGTGAGGTCAATTGAGAGGTGCAGTATGAGTAAGCCTAGCTGGCTGCCAGACCTCTAACCACGTCTTCCAACTGAACTTAATCAGCAAAGAAGGCCTCACATATGTCTTGGTTCCAAATGCAAACAGGGGGCAGGGGTGTTAGAATTGAGTCCCTCAAGCCCAATAGGATGGCACTAAATGGGGATTGGGGGGGAGAGGCAGGTTATACAACAGCTTTGGACTCCAGGAGAGAAAGTTTCTGTTTAAAATGAACATAAGCCTGCTTTATCTGTTCTTTAGCAACTTGAATTTCCCGGACCTTTGTTTCCAGAGATAATCTGTAGGCGTTTTTCTTAAAAACCATGGTTTATTATGGCTCCATTTGGACTTCACCTCCAAACTCAGGTTTATCTCAAGTGTTTGCTCATTGTGGCACCTGAGTTTTCTTGTGGTGTGCTTGTTACAGAAAACAACCTCTTTTTAAACCCATTGTCTAACACAATGGTGTTATGATGAAGCCATCCAGTATCAAATCTTTAGATTATCTTGGGGGAGGTGGGAGGGGGGACGGGGATGGGGAATACATGTAAATCCATGGCTAATTCATTTCAATGTATGACAAAAACCACTGCAATGTTGTAAAGTAATTAACCTCCAACTAATAAAAATAAATGGAAAAAAAAAAAGATTATCTTGAAGCTAAGAAAAAACATCTGGAAGCTTTTCCTCTTTGAAAGGAGAAATACACATAAAAACATCTAATTATATTACATCATTTAATAAAATTTAATGCAAAGTCTCTTTCCATTCTAAGGATCTTCAACATGTAACAATAAGAGCTAACATAGGTACAATGCCCAGGTATTTAGATTGTCTCATTCAATCTTGCCAACCCAAGCAAGTAGGTACCATTACTATTCCCGCTGTGTAGATGAAAAACTGAGGTTCAGAAAGGTTCACTCACACAGCCAAATACACAGTGCGTTCAGAGCTTGGTCCCAGGTCTGGGTCTCAGACCCTGGCTCTTACCATTACTACGATTCTGTAGAGGTGGGAAAAAAAAACCTCCTCTGCTACTTTAGGTTCAGTAGCTGGGTCATGAGAATTAAAGCAGCAAAAGACAGATGAATAGGAGAAAAGATTCATTATGCATGCACATGTGGGCCTTACACAACAGTAGTGAAAACCCAAAGAAGTGTTTAGGTTTGAGAGCTCGTAAACCATTTCAACAAAGGGTAATAAACTGTGAACAAGACAAAGTGAAAGGGGTTTGGGTTTCCAGGAATTTTCACTTCTAGGTAAATTGTAGGAAGGTAATATTGGATTGGACAAAAAGTTGATTCAAGTTTTTTAGTAAGATCTTACAGAAAAACCCCAAATGAACTTTTTGGCCAACCCAATAAATGGGGGAAGCTTATGGAAAATAAAGGTTGTTTGGTAAGGCCCTGTTACGCAGACTCAAGTTAGGGCAATTTCCAGTGATAAGAGTTGTCTCTCTATTCTGGTGTGGGAGAGGGGGTTGGGGACACCTTCACAAAGGGAAATTTATTTTATCTTTACAAAGGAAATTTTGTAACCTTTAAAAGGGGAAATTTATGCCCTGCTTTTAGGCAGAAAAGGAGAGGACAGTAACTCCTGTATCTGCTTTTTCTCAATTAACTTCAACTTAAAATAATTCTTATGCCAAAGTGGTGTATCTTGTGGTGGTATATTCTGATCTCCTTCAGTTCTCACAATACATAACACTATTTTTAAAGTGCCCAAATATTTATTGAATCCTATTATATGCCCTGGTGGCTCAGTTCATAAAGAATCTGCCTGAAATGCAGGGGACAGGGGTTCGATCCCTGAGTTGGGAAGATCCCCTGGAGAAGGAAATGGTAACCCACTCCAGTACTCTTGCCTGGAAAATCCCATGGACAGAGGAGCCTGGCGAGCTACAGTCCATGTGGTCACAAGAGTCGGACACAACTTGGTGACTAAACCACTCCACCACCACCATTATATGCCCAGCATTATAAGATCCTTGGGCTAGATCCTCGCCCTCAAGAAGCTTACAAGTGAGTATGGGAAGAAAAAGCTTCTTAGTTTCAGACAAGCCCCTCAATGGGAACTGCTCTTATATTTGGACAGAATACATACATTTAGAAGTTCTTCACACACACTATTGTCTTCCATCTGATCATCAGAAACAACCCTATGAGGCCGCCTGGTTCTTTTATTTTGCAGAAAACCATCTTAGAAGTCCAGCAACTCGCCACTCCAGGACATCTGACTCTGCTTTGCTGGTACACACACATACACGCACACAGTATTTGCTAGTGGACCTGGATCTGATTCAGATCTTAACTGACCAGCAGACTAAACCAGCACCCACTCACCTTTGTTCATTTACCTCAGTATCATTAGGCAGAGGTTTTCAAGGAAATTTACTCTCCTTCTGTCTATGGCTAATGCAGGCTACTGTTTAAATGATCTGGGCATGTCCTTGGGCAGTATATCCAAATCACCTTAAAAAATAACTGAGCTGTTTGAGGGTTACTCTTCAGAATTTCCTTTTGGTGGTTCATTGACTGCCTTTTAGCTCCTGATAAGCAATGTTTGGAAGAAAATTAAACTGCATTTCACTAAAGACACCTAGGTCAGATCTATTACAAATCCATAAGAGGCTCGCTCTCTCCTTTTTTTCCCCAGAATTGTCCACAACACTGGGAAATTTGGTGAAAACTTGGGTTGGTTCTAACAGCCATTCCCATCAACCTGCTTCTTCTGTTACAGAGAATGACAAGTCAGATACTTGTTTCCCGGGACTTCTCTGCAAGGAGGGGTGGTAAGTGAAGTCTGCTGATGCAGGGGGCAGGTTTCTAGGATTTTTTTTTTTTTTTTCTCCCAATAAGAGGAGAGGGGCTTCCCAGGTGGCACAGTGGGAAAGAATCTACCTGCCAAGGCAAGAGAGGCAAATTCAATCCCTGGGTGGGGAAGATCCCCTGTCTAGGAAATGGCAACCCACTCCAGTATTCTTCCCTGGAAAATCCCGTGGACAGAGGAGTCTGGTGGGCTACAGTCTATGGGGTCGCAAAGAGTCTGACAAGACTGAACACGCCCACACACACGCAGACACAAACACGAAAGGACAGGAAGACTGAAGATTTCCTCTCGGAGTTCTGACCAGCTCGCGGCTTGCTGCTTTTGGATGAGGTTATAGTGGGATGAGAGAGCAGGAGTCAGGGGTGCAATAACGCGAGTGAGGCTTGTGAAATTCAGGGGTGGTAGTGGGAGTCGGGGTGGGACCTGGCCGGGGTCTGGAGGACGCTGGGTGATCGCCGATAGGAGATGAGCGGCACAACAGAACGGATGCGCCCGATTCCCCATTCCCTCTACTAGTGCGGCCTCTCTCACTCCTGGAAGTGTCGGCGGGCCACATTCTGGGGCGTGGCCAGCAGGACCGGAAAACCCCGACTGTTTGGGGGCGGGGCCGCTCCCCCGGGGCGTGGCCTGTGGAACTTCGGAATCCTGGCGACTCGGGGGCCGGGGCTCGCGTCTCCCGGCGCGGGGTTCCTCCCACGCAGCTTCCCATTCAAACGATGCCGAAGGGGCGGCGCAGCAGCCGGAGCCCCACGATGAGCCAGCGACCGGCTCCGCCCCTCTACTTCCCATCCCTCTACGACGGCGGCATCTCCTCGTCGCCGCTCAGCGACTTCAACATCTGGAAGAAGCTCTTCGTGCCGCTGAAGGCGGGAGGGGCGCCGGCGGGAGGGGCGCCGGCGGCGGGGGGCCGGTCCCTGCCCCTGCCCCTGCCCCAGCCCCAGGCGCCCTCGGCCGCAGCGCCCCCGCCGCCACCAGGCCTGGGTCCCCCTAGTGAGCGCCCTTGTCCCCCGCCCTGGCCCTCCGGCCTGGCCTCCATCCCCTACGAGCCTCTGCGCTTCTTTTACTCTCCACCGCCGGGGCCCGAGGCAGCGGCCTCCCCGCTGGTTCCCGGTCCCACGACCTCCCGGCTAGCCTCTGCCTCCCAGCCCGAGGAACTGTGCGAGCTGGAGATCCGGATTAAGGAGCTGGAGCTGCTCACCATAACTGGGGACGGCTTCGACTCCCAGCGCTGTGCGTGACCCCGGCGCCTTACCTTGCCTTGGCTCCGTGCCCCCTGAGCCGCTCACCCGCAGTGTGGCCTTTAGGCTCAGACTCCAGTTCCCAGGAACCCCAGATCCAAACCAATTACCCCCTCTTCCCGGAACCCAGACACTTCTTCCTGGATTTCAACCAATTTCTTCCTCCACCGTAAATCTGGACCCTTTTGCCTCAAGTTCCAACTTCCCCTCCGCCCTGAGCCCTTATGTTACTCTGAACTCTACACCTGGAACTCGTTCCATCACAACCCCAGGTTGAACTTTCAGCCTCCTGCACAGTAGTACAACCGCCCTGGGGGGTCCACCCCGACAGACAACCCCTGTTTCTAGAGGCCTGACTCAGTGTTTATCTTAAACTGGGGTCTTCAGTGGAAGGAGGGGGAGTAGGTGAGGGCCATTTGATCTCTAGGGAGAGGTGCAAGACCCAGAAGGCTGAGGATGCTCACCGAGGGCCTTTGGGATCTTCCATTTCTCAATGCTGGAAGGTCACCTCCTATGACACGTCTGGCTGCCCTCTCACCAGGGTCCTGGCCTCTTTCATCTGATCTAAGGTCTAAAGTCTTAGGCAGACCAGGGCAGAATTCCTCTAGTGTGCAAACTGACTGAGTCCTCTCTGTTCCAGAGTAAAGTTGTTAAACCCAGTTTTACTGCCAGAAGGACCAGATTGCACTGTGGAATATTCAGGAGCCATAGGCTGTTCAACAGACTTTGTCTTTGCCAACACCTGGTCTGGCTAAGGCTAGCTCTTGACCACTGGAGGAGGGCAGATGGTTCTAGAAAGACCATCCCCACTATTGTGAAATAGACTACATGTTTAGGTACATGTGGCCATGGGAACGATCCCCCATTCATCAGGCACTCTGTGATGTCCCCTTCCCCACTTCCTCAAGAAGGAAACTAGAATACTTGGACTTTCTAAGTCCTGGATTTCTTAACCACATATTTCTCCACTTGGATGTGTTTTGGTTCTTAGGGGTTTTTCCCCCCTCACCCATCTTGGGTCTGAATAGGTTTGGGACTCATGTGGGGAAGCACACGATTGCTTCCCCAAAGCTAGCTTTGGAAGTGTTAGGAAAAAAGCCCTTCTCACTCCTACATCTAAGTTTGTTTTGGTCTTCTGCAGATAAATTCTTGAAGGCGCTGAAGGATGAAAAGTTACAAGGCCTGAAGACCAGGCAGCCTGGGAAGAAGTCGGCCCCTCTCTCCTGAGGAGCTGCCCACCAGAGCCTGGCAGCACCTCCTTAGGCGTTAGTGCTTAGATAATGTGTCCCGTTTGTTGTCATTTCAAAGATCGTTATTTTCTGTTCTGTATTTACTGCTGTTCTCGTTGCTCCCAGCACGTGCTCCACATACAGTGCCCACTTGCGTGGTAAATCTCATGGTCTCTCTCCTGTCTGTGCCACTGCTGGGGGGAGTGCTCTCATGGGGGCTGGAGGCTGCTACCCAGCCAGCATTCAGAGGCTTCCAAAACCAGGGGAGGAGGGGATCCCCAACACTGTCAAGTCAGGGGGATTGGAAAAAGCCAATGGCAACATATATTTGGTTCTGTTGCCATGTCCCTACTCGGAAAGGCTCTTTGAGGACTGGAACAGGGGGTTAGTTTGGTTTCAAACAGCTTTAGTCCTTGGAAATGTTCTATAATTTTTAAATGCATTTTGGAGCACAAAACTCTTTGTTAATCTGATGAAAGGCACAGTCCTTCCAAGACATTCATATAGTCAAATACTTGAGTGCTTATTATGTGTTAGGCACCCTCCTGGGCTCTTGGGGTTGGGGGAGGGGATACAGACAGCAAATATTATTAGTAAATCATAATATGGTATCAGAAGATGACAGGCTAAGGGGAAAACAAAAAGTTTGGATGAGGATGGTCAGGAGGGTGGGAGGAAAGCAGGGTTTCTTGAAGAGAGAACATGTAAACAGTGCTTGACAGAGATTGAGGGCAATAGGCAGGAGACACCCTAGGGGAGCATTTCAGGGTGAAGGGCAGGTGCAAAAGCTGAAGGTGGGAGCACGCTGGGAGTTTTGAGGGTCAGCAGAGCGCGCAGACGGCTGGAGCAGGAGTAAGGGAGGGAGGAAGGGATGAGGGCAGAGAGGGTCCATTCGCATGGGACCTTACAGACATGGTAACGACCTGGGGATTTTACTCTGAGTGCAATGGAAAGTAGAGAGTTTTCAGCTGATGAGTAACAGGTTCTGATTTGTGCTATGTTGAGAACAGAGTAAGGAAGGATGAAGAGAAAACCGGAGGTCGTTGGAATTAATGAGCTAAGTGAGAAGCAGCGGTGAAGAGGTAAAGAACCCTTTCCCCCTTGCTGGGTCCCCTGCTGCCAGGCACTGCCTCTATGGCGAGGAGGAGCCAGGACCTGGTGGCACAAGCACACGAAGGATAACATAGCTGATAGAACAAATCTTTGATCTAGAACAAATCTTCCAGGGACTTGCCTGGTGGTTAAGACTCCATGCTGCCAATGCAGAGGAGATGGGTTTGATCCCTGGTTGGGGAACTAAGATCCTGCATGCCACACAGTGCAGCCTAAAAAACAAAACCTAAATCTTTCATTAAGTATAACGTTTGGGTGCTTAGCTTCTCGACCCCCTTGTGCCTTCACTATGCCAGCAGCCTAGATCGTAGCTGAAGAATCTGTGAAGTTTGGGCTTCTTTCAGAGGAGAATGGAAAAGAGTAGCTAGTGAGCCAGGCTTCCCTGGTGGCTCAGAGGTAAAGAAGCCACCTGCCAATGCAGGGGACATGGGTTCAATTCCTGGGTTGGGAAGATCCCCTGGAGAAGGAAATGGCAACCCACCCTAGTATTCTTGCCTTGAGAATCCCATGGACAGAGGAGCTTGGCTGGCTATAGTCCATGGGGTTGCAAAAGAGTTGGATGCAACTTATCTACTAAACAACAACAGCTGGTAAAGCCAGGTGTCTTCAAAGACATGTGAAGTAGGAGGGAGAAGCGGAGGGGGTCTGATAAATAGCATTGATTGGTCAAGCGGAGCCTGAGTATTTTTGCTCCTGGATTTAGCAACACGATTTCGTATTGGTTTTTTGCAGTTTCGGTTGAGCATAAGGGGTTGATGCCTGACTGCAGTTGTTTGAAAATGGGAGGAGAGGAATTAGAGACACCAAGTAGATGCCTTTATAGGAAGTTTAGCTTCAGATAGAACTGAGATAGAAACAACTGGCAGGGCAAGCAGGGTCGAGATAAGGGTTTTTTAAGAAAGGAGAAATGACCATGCATTTGTCTGATGGAGAATGACCCCATAGAGGGAGAAAAACTGACAAAGTAGAAGAGGTCTCTGCCTGACGCACAGCAAGCCAAATGCGGAGACGCCAATGTTTGTAGCAAAAAGAGGTCTTATTTGTGAGACAACTGGAGGAGAGGCTAAAAGAACAAGCCATAAGTCTGCCCCCAAAAGGCAAGGGGCTGGGGTATTTATGGGATTACTAATAAAGATGATGCCGGTCAGCTGGAGGCGTGGGGAATGTGGGGATGTGATTGGGAAAAGATTCAGGACTTGTCCTCCTGTGCGGCGTAACTCGGCTACGCAACTCTGCATGTTCTGAGTGTGGAGGTTTGGGCCCTCTGATGTCAAAAGGTTCTTGAGTGGACCCTGATTCAGTCCCAGTTAGAGGGTCAGTGGTCCTATCCAATCTTAACCCATTCAGATAGTATTAGCCTCCAGATTTCTGGGCAATAACTCAGGCAAACATCTTACTGTTTAGGCTTCATGCTGCTGGGAGGATATGCAAGTCTTAAAACAATCTTGATTAGTGAAGATTTAGGTGAAATGGATTTAATCTATGGCTTCAGAGAGGAGGAATTGCTGGAATGGTGTCCTTGAGTGGATGAGAGGGGTCAGGTCTAGTTTATAGTAGGATTGGCTTTGGATGGAAGCAGAGATGGTTTATTCTTAATGTGCTTAGTTGCCCAATCATGTCCGACTCTTTGCGACCCCATGGACTGGAGCCCACCAGGCTCCTCTGTCCATGGGGATTCGCCAGGCAAAAGTACTGGAATGAGTTGTCATGCCCTCCTCCAGGGGATCTTCTCAACCCAGGGACTGAACCCAGGTCTCCCACATTGCAGGTGGATTCTTTACCACTGAGCCACCAGGGAAGCCCTGGGTTTTCAATAGATTGGCTTTGGATGGAAGCAGAGACGGTTTATCCTTAATAGCAGGAGGTTATCACCTGATGATGATAGATGGGGTGGTGGGAGCCCCAGAGGCTACAAACACTTGCCCCAGAGTTTGTGCAGCAACCATCAGCTTGAGGACACAAATGTGCATGTCTGTGAGGCCCAGCTGGAGACCCTGGGCATGGGTACCAGGAGCCAGGCAGAGGCTGGCCAATCACAGAGCTGCTGCCTGACTGTGGGGGCGTTTCAGCCACTGCTGCCCACAGCCAGAAGCGTGGGCCCAATGTTAGGCCAAAGCCCCCAGGTTCTAAACCTTAGCAACAAATTTCAGTGTTTCCAAAACCCAGTATAGGGTGAGCAAAGTCTGGACAGCCCCCAGAATTCACAACTGTGCGAGTTCACAACCCCAGGATTCACAACCCGTGGGAGTCCTCCCACCCTAGGCATTCCAGGTCCTGTCTCCCCTCTCTAGGAGGAAGCTAGATTCCCATTACCCCAGGCTGGTTGATGCAAGCGAAGCTCCCTTGTTCTAGAAAACTTCAGGCTAGCAAGTCCAGTTGGGGGAGCTGGAGACTCTTAATGAGAGTCAGGAAAATTCAGCAGCAAGCTCAAGGAGGGCAGAGCTGCCCGGGGCGGGGGCGGGGGGGGCGTTGGGGGGGGGTGCAATTTCCCATTTCTTCCCCAGAGCCTCCATTGCCCCCGACCCCCATCCATCCAAACTCATAAAACTGGCCACTGATTAAGTGCATCCTGGGCACAGAGGGAGGCAGTTGACATGAACAGTCTACTTCTTAGTAGTACCGGGACTCCGTGCTGTCACTGCTCGGGGCACAGGTCTAATCCTAGGTCAGGGAGCTAAGGTCCAGAAAACCCCGTGGCGTGGCAAAAAATAATTCTTACTAGCACCTTGTGATATAGGAACCATTCTTGGCATGTTTTACAAATGAGGGAACAGAGACTCTGAAAGGTGGAGTAACTTACTCCCTCCTCCACCCCTGGGCACAGGGCTAGGGAATGGCAGAGTGAGGACTGGAAGTCAGGCTTGTCAAGGTTCTCCCAGGCCCTCCTGCAGCATAAAAGGGCACAGACATAGGGGAAGACCTAGTGAGTCACCAGGAGGAAACATTAGGTTCAATACCGGGAGGATGTAGTTTGGGAGTGGGCTGAGTTGTCTCCCACAGTTGTCCCCCAAGGGAGAATGGAGTTGACAGTCTTCTGGTATCACAGTCAAGGTCTCTGGAGTGCCCACACTCAGCCCTGGCGCTTGTCCCTCCATCCAATGGCTTTGGTCATAAGTCCTGTTATCAGGATGGTGGAGGAGGCAGGTCCTGTGATTCTCAGTCCATCCTGAACAGAATGGAATGGAAGAGGTTGTATACCAAAAAGAAGGATGCTTGGCAATTGAAAACAAGATAAGGGTCCAGGTGAAGCAAACACCATATGCATGGAATAATAGATAAATGCAGTGGCATGCTGGAGCCAGCTGGGACAGCTCATGAAAGCCAATGGTTAAATTTTGAGGAATTTTGTAAGCTGGTTGTTAAATACAGCCATTGTTAAAAATTAACTTGTATCAACTTACAATTAAACAGTATTTAAAATGAAGGTAATAAATATTCAAAATTCAGCACTCCCTAATTATTTTGCTCCATTTTACAATTACCCATGTTCTTAAAGTTATTTATGGCTCTTGTGTCTGTATAGTGGAAATACTATATAACAATGTACTAATGTTACATTCCTTCTGAGTAATGTCTGTGTTGATGTTTTGAAACTGGCCACAGTGAGAGTATTTACACTATGGAAATTGGCAAATGTATAAATCAGGGTTGTTCTTGTCCTCTCTACCCTTTCCAACCTCCATAAAAAGTTGGTTGTTAAACATTTACTGACCCACCACCAGATAAACAGGAAAAATCATTGATAGCTGAGCTAGAAGGAAGGCTGCTTTGGAGCATTCAGAGTCGGGCTGAGGGTATGACTGAATCTCCCTGCTGCTCTGGCTTGTCTGCCCACTTAGTCACCCACATGGAAGAGGTAGGAAAGAAGAGCCTGGTCGTACCTGC